AAAAAAAAAAAAAAAGAAGAAGACTTAAAGTCCATCTCCAAATCTGTGAAGTTAGTTTTTCTTCCAAAGATATTTGATACATTCTCTTTTTATATAATCTGTGGATAAAATCAGGGAAAACTGGTTTAAATTAAAACAGAAGAGATTTAGGTTAGATGGAAGAAGAAAAATTTCTAGCAGAAAATGCAAGTAAACACCAAGCAAATGTGTGGACTTCATTTACCTAGTAAAAATCTGACTATTCACTAGGCATTGGATTGAATAATCTTACACACTGTGATGATGCAATGCTGAGCCTTATTCTTTTGCTATCCTATAATCATTCTATTTTATGCTCTTAGAGTGTCAGTCACTTTAATGATACCTTCTTGGAAGCAAAAATACCCTTCTCAGTACAGTTATCAGAAGGTAGTAACTGTGTTGGATTATTGAATTTGATTATTATTATTTCAAATAGAAATGGGATCTTGCTATGTTGCTGCTCTCAAACCCCTGGGCTCAAGCAATCCTCCTTCCTCAGCCTTCCAACATTCTAGGATTATAGGCGTAAGCCACCACACCTGGCCAAGATTATTGAATTGTTTATACCTGTGTTATAGTGGAACGGGTATTCAAAAAAAATGCTAATGAAGGTGATTTTTCTTAAAGCTGCTGATGAGGAGGGCTTTTTAACTTGGTTTTTCATCAACTGTGATGTCTTCGGCCTCATATCATTATTATAATGGATGTTTCTTTTCTAAGATTACCTATTCACTATTCACAATAGAAAGACATGGAATAAACCTACATGCCCTTCAGTGGTAGAATGGATAAAGGAAACATGGCAATATACAAATATACCACAGACTACTACACAGCATAAAAAAGAACAAAATCTTGTCCTTTGCAGCAGCATGGATGCAGCTGGAGGTCATTATCCTAAGTGAATTAACACAGGAACAGAAAACCAAATAGTGCATGTTCTCACAAGTGGGAGCTAAACACTGGATAGTTATGGCCATAAAAATGGCAACAATACACACTGGGAACTACTAGATGGGGAAGAAAGGGAGGGGGGCAGGGCTGAGAAACTGACTTAGGTACTGTACTCAGTGCCTGGTTCGTCGGGATTAGTTGTACCCAAAACCTCAGCACCACACAATATACCCATGTAACAAAAGCACACACGCACTCCCTGAATCTAACACAGAAATTGAAATTATTAAAAAACTAATTTTTAGTTACCAGGAAAAAATAATGAACTATTAAGAACCTCAACCTGGTCTTGGTGGCTCATACCTGTAATCACAACACTTGGGAGACAGAGGCAGGAGGATTGCTTGAGCCTAGGAGTTCAAGACCAGTCTGGGCAACATAGGGAGACCTTGTTTCTACAACAAAATTTTAAAAGTATTAGCTGGGCATGGTGGCATACACCTACAATCCCAGAACTTTGGGAGGCCAAGGCAGGGGGGATCACTTGAGCCTGGGAGTTTGAGGCTGCAGTGAGCTATGATCATGTCACTGCACTCCAAAAGAGGACCTCATATCCTGTAGGCTTGAGTTTGAGACCAGTCTGGACAACATAGGGAGACCCCATCTCTACAAAAATAAATAAAAAAATATTAGCCAGGCATGGTGGTGCGTGCCTGTGGTCTCAGCTACTGGGGAGGCTGAGGTGGGAGGATCGCCTGAGCCTGGGAGGTTGAGGCTGCAGTGAGCTGTGATCATGCCACTGCACTCCAAAAGATCTCAAATTCTGTATGGGGGTGCAGTTAGGGGGAGATCTGAGTAAAAAGCATGATTTCATTTGACTCTCAGATATTGCGACCTAGTGAGTTGTAATGGTTTATGTTGTGACATTTAGGGCTAAGTCTTTTTATATATCATTACCTTCATTTCAAATATACTTATCGAAACTTATTTGAAAATAAAATCAGGTTGTTTCCTAGTACAGCCAATACACTATCTAAACTGTTAAGAGTCTATGGTGATGCCAAAGACAATTGTGACTTGAGGTGGTTGATTCTAAAGCTCTCAGCCAAGTAACCTGCAAAGCGGAGAAAAAAGATTACGTTTAAGAGTAGGTGCAGGGCCGGGCGCGGTGGCTCACGCCTGTAATCCCAGCACTTTGGGAGGCCGAGGCGGGTGGATCACGAGGTCAAGAGATCGAGACCATCCTGGTCAACATGGTGAAACCCCGTCTCT